GATTATACAAGTTAAAGTACAACAAGGTTTTCGAGATTAACAAAGCGTTGTCAAAGTTGAAATCAACAAAGATTTTATTGATGCGTAGTAGTTTGTAGAAAAGGAGTCTAAGTAGAAGTTATACAAGGAGTTGTTGAAGTTCTGATCTATAAATAGGGAGCTATTTGCGTCAGAAAAATTGCACACTTACAAAGAGAGAAGTTAAAAACACAATCAAGAGCATTGAGAGAATTTTGATAAATACTTTTGAGTGCTTTGAATTGAGTGATAAATTGTAAGGTTGTATTCAAGAGTCTTGTTTACTATCTGAGTTGTGTGAGTAGGAGTAGCTTGACAAGTTGCAACTTATAGAGTATTAGAAGATACGAAACTAGGGATTAATTTTGTGTCTTGGGTAGAAGAAATTAGAGTTTATAATTTCTTAGGCTACAGAGCTTTGTAATCGTTGTATTGTTTGAAGTTTATAAATAATACAAAGTGTTGTTCGAATTAATTATTGTTAAGTTTCAAACAAACAAGAAACACGTTGTCTGTACGTGTTCCTTTGAAGAATTCAGGAGGGTAGAATTCCAACATCAGATTAACTTAACTCATTTCATTTCGGTGTTTCCAGTTTCCACGCTCAAATGAAACAAAAATAAAAAATTTTGTGAGAATTCCGGTGAGCTCTAAACTAGAGCCAATCGGTCTCAAAATTATTAACGTACGACGAAAATTACCATTTTTCACAAACTTCTTTGAAGTAGTGGATAGCTTAGATGATGCCATAGATATATTTGAAGTCATCTTGGAGATGAAAAATTAGTGATAAATGAGAAGCATTTTTGTAGTTCGAATGATTCTTAAAATATAATTTTAGCTGCGGCGTGGAATGTCAACGTGTCGTTGATGATTCTATCTCATTTTTGAATGTTTCAAACATGTTCATTTTATTACTAAACAATACATAAGTTGAAAAATCCATTACATAAGGCCTAATAAGATTCATCAAAAGTGGTCATGAACCATTACAATGAACTACAAGTTACTTAGGCACAAATCACAAATTTGCAATCCTTGATTTCCTTGTTTTCTATTCCTTCAAATATTCAAGACCTCTTTTTCATCCTTGTTTCTGTCTCACAAATTACCATTGCTTTCAGTGATGAATCTTCTACATTTTCGATCTCAAGATCATAGAGCTCATCGGATCCTAACATTTTTTTTGTTGAGGTGGAAATGATGAAATGAAATGGGTGAAGTTAATTTGAATGGATGAATTTTTTTTTTAATTGGATTGGAAAGGTATGGTGGAAGGTGAAGTATTTTAAAAGCCACGTGACATTTTCTTAAATTAAAGCTAAATAAAAAAATTTAATTTATTAAATATTAATCTGTTAATTAAAAAGACATATATTGAATCATTTCTATAATAATAGGGGATATATGAGTCATTTTTAAATTAAAGGTACATTAGCTTCATGGTGAAGTTCGAGTAAATATTTAAAGAGAAAACATTAGATTACTATTCTAGTGATAACCTTAAAACCCTAATGTCACGGACCTACTGATTCTGACAAGACTCCGTGCGACACTTGACGATTTTCTCACGGTTCTTTCACGATCTCGCAAACTCAAGTCAGACTTTCACAATTTGGATCGCTAAGAGAAGTAAGAAGAAAGACTAGAGACGGAAGTTGGAAGAATGGACTAGTATCTTTATTAGTCAAGATTGTTGGATGCTTTACAAATACATTGACCCTACTATTTATACTACTCTACAAACTAAGAGTAAATAAATGCTATATACAAGTCCCTAGGTACATGCTTCTTATTTCAAGAAGATGTCTTGATTTCTTCCAAAAGGACTCCTAGATTTCTCTAGTCTGCCCCAAGACTCTAGAAGACTTCTAGAATCCTTCCCAAGCCTCTCCAATGCCCAAGGCTGCTGCCCCTTGGTTTGCTGCACGCCCAGGCTGCTTCTGCCCCTTAGCCTGCCAGGCTTTTGGGCGCCTGTGCAGCAGTCTGCCTGGCGCTGGGCCTTTGGACCACCTGTGCTGCAGTCCGCCTGGATGGGTGGCCTGCCTGCTCCCTTGCATGCGCTACAAGCTGCACGGGCTGGTGACGTTCTGCTTGGATAATTGGCGGGATGTCACAATCTCCCCCACCACATGATGCGACGACCGCGTCGCATTGCGACAGTATCGACGTTGAGTTCTGCCGGGCGACCATTAGCTCACGTACTCGATCAATCCCTTCGAGCAGCTTCTTCATCGATGTCCCGACCCTTCTCGACCCGATCTTTGAAACTTCCTCCTTCAACGGAGGTAAGAGCCTGCGCAGCTTCTTCTTCATCACGGCAGAGTTCTTGCTCAGAACTCTCTTTGCCTGCGGAAGCAAGGTCTTCTCAACACCACTGTCTTCTTTCGAACTTGCAATGGTTGCTGCTGATGTAAACCCCTTCCTCACGTCGACCCTTTCGATCTTCACGGCTGTCAGACGTACCTGTCCCTCCGTGGCCTGCACCTTTACCATCGGAATCGTAAATGTCCCTCCTTTCTCCATGATCTTCAATTGTTGGAGATAAGGGTCAATCACGGCATGGTACTGTTGAAAGAACTTCTGCCCAAGCACAATATCAAAAAGATCTAAAGGAGCGACGACAAATTTGGTCTTCCCTTGCCAACCGCCTATCGTGATGTTCACCCCGTGCGCAATTCCGATAATGGGAATTGGTGGGGCATTGACAGTCCTGATTTGAGCGTTGCTTGAAGTATAACGCAACCCCAACCTCGTTGCTGCCGTTTTGGTCACAAAATTGGCCTCCGCACCCGTATCGACCAACACCCGAGCACTCTGCCCATTGACAGTGATGTCAATGTATTGAGCCCATGCCACAGACTTCGCAAGTCCCTTTTCAGCATGCTTCTGCTCCGGTTGCCTTGGTTTATCTTGCCTTGGCCTCGTCGATGGTTGCTCAACCACTGCTCCGCATAGGCTTAACAAGACCAACTGCTTAGTCTGCGCGACTTTATCATCCTCTTGGGCTTTCTCTTCCTTCCGCTCACGAAGGATAGCACCAAGACTTTTCAGTTTAGGGCATCTTTTATAACCATGCGGCCATTTGCAAATAAAACAACCGTCCTTGGAATCCCTTACCGTGTTGCCACGATCTCCGGGTTTCTTGCCGTTGGACTTGTAGGTGTCACGCCTTTGAGGCCGCTGCTCCTCGCTTCGCCTCTTGGGTTGTGGCCTTTGCTGCTCGCCTTCGCCACTATCTTCCCCACTGTCATCGTGACTGCCTACCTCGTCGTCCTCATCGGCACAGATAGACTTCTCCTGCCTGAAGTATGTCAAGGCTTTGGCCTGTGTAATGGCGTCATCCATAGTACTGACTTGCCGCCGTTCCAACTCCGTTTTGGACCAATTTTGCAGCCCGTCCATGAAGTAGAACAAGGCATCGTTGTCCTTGAGGTCGGGAATCTGAAATGTAAGGGTGGTAAACTCCCGCACATACGCGCGTATGCTACCCTTCTGTCTCAACTCCCTCAACTTGCGCTTTGCCTCATAGACAACGTTGCTAGGGAAGAACACCTTCTTGAATTCCACATGGAACTGCTCCCATGTGTTCAACACGCATGTTCCCTTTGCAATGTCAGACTCTTTACGCTTCCACCATAATATGGCCAACTCCGAAAGATACAACACAGCCGTGTTGATCTTGCTTGCATCACTTTGAACCCGCATACACTTGAAATAATTTTCCAAGTGCCAAAGGAAATTCTCCACCGCTTGTGCGTCACGGACGCCTTTGAAGACAGGTGGTTTGGGCGCCTCAACTCTGGCTTCCCTTTCCCGGTCATGTGATGAGGATCCAACAACCTCTCTTTCTTCCTCGAGTGCTGCCACCTTGGCCTTAAGCAACTCCACTGAGCCAAGTGATTCCCTAAGTGTGGACTCTAAGGAAATAATGGCCTCCTTTGTCTCGAGCTCGGCTCGCTGGCGTGCCTCCAACTCCTTCCGGATGTTAAGAACTTCTTCAAGGGAGTACTCCTTAAAGGTCTTGAAATTTTTGTCCGTCACGTTCAAGCGCTTGCCTATGATCTCAACGGCCTGCCTTGCCATTTCGACGCTTGAAATCCACTCCTCTCCGACAGTAACGTCCACGGACTCCTCGTCGGTGTCTTCGTCACTACCATCGACAATATTGGGCTGAAAAGATGTTTGCCCAACGCTTGATGTAGGGTCGGTTGGTGGAGAATCGCTTGGGGTGACCTGGGGCAGAATCACTTCGTTCACCTTCTGCTTGTTCTTCCCTTTCTTGTTCTTCTTGCCTCCGGTTATGGGAACGTTGGGGGTGTTACCGGCTAAGTCTCCTTCGTTCGTCATTCTCTCACGATAACCTCGCTCTGATACCACTTGTCACGGACCTACTGATTCTGACAAGACTCCGTGCGGCACTTGACGATTTGCTCACGGTTCTTTCACGATCTCGCAAACTCAAGTCAGCCTTTCACAATTTGGATCGCTAAGAGAAGTAAGAAGAAAGACTAGAGACGGAAATTGGAAGAATGGACTAGTATCTTTATTAGTCAAGATTGTTGGATGCTTTACAAATACATTGACCCTACTATTTATACTACTCTACAAACTAAGAGTAAATAAATGCTATATACAAGTCCCTAGGTACATGCTTCTTATTCCAAGAAGATGTCTTGATTTCTTCCAAAAGGACTCCTAGATTTCTCTAGTCTGCCCCAAGACTCTAGAAGACTTCTAGAATCCTTCCCAAGCCTTTCCAATGCCCAAGGTTGCTGCCCCTTGGTCTGCTGCACGCCCAGGCTGCTTCTGCCCCTTCGCCTGCCAAGCTTTTGGGCCGCCTGTGCAGCAGTCTGCCTGGCGCTGGGCCTTTGGGCCACCTGTGCTGCAGTCCGCCTGGATAGGTGGCTTGCCTGCTCCCTTGCATGCGCTGCAAGCTGCACGGGCTGGTGACGTTCTGCTTGGATAATTGGCGGGATGTCACACTAAAGTCACTTCTCTCACTCCTCTCTCACGCCCAGCATCCTCGACCCATTCCTGACCGGCGCCACGCCACGTTCTCCGACCGGCGCCGTCTCAGCAGCAGCAGAGGGCGGCACAGCAGCAGCGGCAATCTTGGTAAGTTTTAAATTTTCCATTTGCTCATCAACGATTTGAAAAAGTTTAGGAATATCGCCAAACAAAAAGGAGAACTCCAACTTATGCATTGACTTGTTTCAAGACTAAATACCAATATTGATTGTTGATATTAACTTGTCTGATTATCTAAAAGAATTAATGTATGTGGGGTTTGCTGCTTCTAGTGAGGGGAGTACTGAATTGCATAGTATTGAGAATTGGAGTTTTCGAACTTATGGATTTGTCCCTGTGAGGCATCCTCATAATGTTTCTGATGATACTGTGATTGTAAAGCCTCCGATTATTCAAAAGTCTGGCCATAAACATAATAATAAGAGTCTTCGGTTGGTTTTTGAATTGGTGGTCCAGCTTTCCTTTGTGATGTTCTTGTAGATTTTTGTTGGATTTCTGTCGAGAAATGGTGAAATTTGCACAAGTAACAAATCTGTAACAACAAAACAATGAAAATAAATCCAAGAAACATTGATCAATTGAATATAGGAGAAACCTATTTTGAATTATCAAGAAAAAGAAAAAACAACACAAACTTGTTTACTAATTGTCAATTGTTAATAATGACTGAAATCTCTCCATAATGACCACTTAAGAAATTTTAAATTGTTCCTTTTCGTGCTAGGCAATTGAGGAATCTCAACATTTAAAAAAGTTGATACAAGACTTTACTCCTTTCATCAAAGTAGGAGATAAGGTTTGGTGATTCTAAATTTCTATAGATCAAGTACAATTGTTTTCTAATAATGTGTTTGTGTCCATCTAGTATTGATAGTTAACTTTAATCAGTGTTTTGGGAGGCGAGAAGCGGAAAAAAGCGACGAGGGCTTGCTTCACAGAAGTGAGAAGTGTGAAGTGAAGCGCGCTTTTTTTTTTAAAAAAAATGCGACATTTAGTATAAAAATAAAAAAAAATATTGAATAACTAAATAGAGGTAATATAGTCTTAGATTAAAAGAAAATAGATAGTCAATAATATTCATAAGTCATAACATATAAAGCAAAAAATCAAAAATATAATTAAATCAGAAAGACTCAAACTCTTATTCTTCAACAAGATCCTCAAACTCTTCAAGTGCCATAACCAAGGGTTATAATTGGTAATCACCTTCTTCATCATCAGGATTGTCAAAAAATTAAAAAAAAAAAAAGAGCTGCTAGCATACACACTGATCACACAATAAAAACGAAAAAAAAGGCAAGAGAATTGAAAAAACAGAGGAAGCAGTCAGTAATTGTGAACAGAAACAGAGCAGATCGCAGCAGAGATGAAGACAAGAAAAAGAAAAAACTACAGCAGTCGCATCGTGAAGAGAAAAGAAACTCACAGAGATGAAGCAAAGTCAAAGATTATATATTTCAGGATCCTTTTGGAACTCACATAGATGAACTAATAAACATCGGTTAAAACTTACCTGCAATCCGGTCAAGGTATGAAGAGAGACACAGTCCCAATCGTGGTTGTGAAGAGAGAAGAAGCGAAAGACGAGTCGTGAAAGAAAAATTAAGTTATATTGTATATTTCAGATTTTTGAAAAAAAAAACCTAATTTTTTTTTAAAAAAACTAATTGTCGTTTTTTTTTATAAAAAGTGCGCTTTATTGCGCTTTTGCCTTAGTGTCGCTTCTCGCTTCTTTATCTGAAGCGAGCGCCTTTTTCAGATCGCATCGCCTCAGGAGAAAAAAGCGCACTGGTGTCGCCTCGCTTTGAAGCGCGCTTTTCACAGCACTAACTTTAATTTTGTGATAATTTGCTTGTGTCCATCGAGGGTTGACACTTGCTTTAAATTAGGTGATGATGTGTTTGTTTTGCATAAGTACCAACATTAGTTGATCCTATTAATGACAAAATCGATTTTCTTTGCAAGATCGATTTGTGTTCATCTAGTGTTGATACTAAGCTTTAATTTTGGAATAACATGTTTGTCAAGCATAAGTACCAACATTAGTTGATCCTATTGATGACAAAATTGATTTTCTTTCAAGATCAATTTGTGCCCATCTAGTGTTGATATTAAGCTTAAATTAGGAATAATGTGTTTGTTAAGTATAAGTACTAACACTAGTTAATCTTGATGACAAAATTGGTTTTCTTACTAGATCAATTTGTGTCCATCTAGTGTTGACACTTAATAATGTGTTTGTTAGAAATAAGTTCAAATAAAGTTTAATAAACCCCAGCTAGTTTGACTCATTAATACCTCACACATATGACTCGTAAGGATGAAAAAAGTTACCTGCCATACTGTCCAGGGTTTAATTGTAATTAATGCTTCCTGCTTCAACGTTGTAAAGAGTGCGAGGGTTTAACGAATTACAGCGTCGACACAGATAAGAAGAAGAAGAAGCAAAAATGGGAGGTAAAGGGAAGAAGAGAAGAGAGAAGAATTACAGGGCAGCTCATGGAGGCACTACTAGACTTCCTCCCCCACCCAACACCTCTTCTATTGATGCCATTCCCTCCAAGCTCCGTCAAATTATGGCCTTTTCAGGTACATACACCGTCTTGTATGTGCTTCGCTGTGAATTGATTTTGTACATGAAATTTTGGTGGAAAGTAATTGTTTTTCTTAGTTTTCAATGTTTCTTACAAAGTGGGTTTTCTTATTTATTGTTTTAGGGGATGGGAAAGGTTCATTGGATAATGCAGACAGGAAGAAAGGAGATAGTGGTGGTAGTGCTAATGGAAAGGTAAAATTGCATATCGAAAGTTAGGACCTTGTAGTTCTTATTTTGGCCTTATTCATGTAGTTAGTGACTTCTGGTATATGCTATCTATATGTTGTTTACTATGTTTAGGTAATCACACTGTGTTGTTAATGTTATGCTACCTTTAATAAATGAATGTTCTGCAGTGCTTCCAATTAGTTGTCATGTTTTCTTCATTGTCGTTTTTTCCTTTTCCATTACTACATTGATTTGCTTCACTTGAGTGGACGTTCTTTACGAAATAGCCTCCCTACCTTTATAAGGTAAGGTACAGTCTACCCTCTCCAGACCCCACTTTGTGGGATTTCACTTGGTATGTTGTTGGTTCTCAATAGTACTTATCGTTGTAGTGATAATTTTTGTGGTACGGTTGTACAATTTGGTTTTAGTGCTGTGTTTGGAATTATTTAGTCTACTAGTTGTAGGCAGTGCATGAATTGCATGAGTTTGGGAACCTATAGTTAATAAAAGATAAATTCCTCTTTTCCTGAGAAAGGCTATAGTGGTATTTATACAAGTAATAGTCCAATTTATGAATGTGAAGCTTTTTTTGAACTTTTTTGTTTGGAGAGGTAATAGTCCAATACTAGTAATATGATTATGAGGATTCTTATCGACCACCCAGTGATAAATGAGACAGGGGTGCAGAGACAGCTAGATAGTGGTGGGGCCAGGAGTTTTACTAAGGAGTGTCAAAATCTATAGTAAAGAAGCTAAAGGGCGCCGATGTACAGTATACATATAAAAGAATTTTTTACCTAAGTACACAGTATAGTTTTCCAACAAAAGTGTATCAATTGACACCCCTTGAATACATGTGGCTCCGTCACTGCAGCTAGGGTTTTTGGCTAGAAGAAGCAACTCTTTAAAGAGAGCGTAATAGCTTAGTGATTGAGTGCTCTTACTCAGCAACACTCAGACAAGTGGGGAATGTTGGGGTGAACAGAAGAGTTTGGCTATAGCCGGATCTAAGCTTACTGTAGTAAGGGGGGGGGGGGGGGTGCTCATATTATAGCTTTGGTATATGCATATTAACAAATACCAGGAAAAACATGCCATTTCAGATGCATATATGATGTATTCACAATCCCTCGAGCAAGTGTAGTTTATTGTGATTAACACACTTCATAAGCTCGGAAGTGTTCCATGATAGGTATATTAATCTATGATCAGCTCAAGTAAGCAGTCAAGCTTGAAAACACCAAATTCAATCAAGCCCAGTTAAGTGTAGTTTGGTTTCCTAGCAACTGTGTTAGACTCTGTCGCTCTCATATTTTTCTGTTCTCAACACTTTTCTTCTATAATCTATAGAATGTTAGACGGATTTTGCAGCCCCTTTCTGCAGTGTTGTCAAAGGGCGCTTTCAGCGAGCTTAAGCCCTGAACGAGGCTCAAAACGCGTTGAGCGCTCACCTCCCTTTATGTGCGCTTTAGTATCGTCATCAAGGTTCTAAGGCAAACACTTCCTTGCCAATGAGCCTCTTATGAAGAATTTGAAGCTAAATAATTGATATTTAACTTTATCATAATTTTTCTCAATTTCTTTGGTCATATATTTGTCATTTTATGTTTATAATTATTAGTCTTGGACTAAACATATATATTTTATTCTTTTCTCCCGTTGCTCCTTTTTTGGTTGAAGCCCATGTTTTATTTGCGCTTAAAGCCCCCGCAGACCTTAGAGCTTTTTTGCGTTTTTCGCCTTTGATAACACTGCTTTCTGCAGGAAAAATAGTGTTTTATGTAAGCTATTACATCTACCAATGAGTATAACTGTATAATCGTATTTTCTGAGCTTTTTACTGAACAAAAATACAATCTCTATATATCGCTGGAATAATTAATTGGATGCTCTCTTGAGAATCATATTTATGCAAGCGCCTACTTTTGTATACGTCTTGTTTGGTGGGTGGGGGTGGGATGGGGTGGTGTATGGGGTTCCCTGTTACATATATGGAATAGTTAAGTTAATCAAAATAAATTCAATTTCGACTTTGAACTTGTCAATAAATAAATAAAAGTTTACTTGAAGTGTCTCAAGAATTTTCTGTTAGTCTCCATTTTGACCAAAACAAATGTCAATGCTTCTGAATGCTATTGTTGCACATTGTTCAATGCCAGTGATCTTTTCACTATTTGTTCCAATTATTGTCAATATAGATTCGTATACTTCCGCTCTCTTGTCTAGAGTAACTTACATTGTTGTGAATCATTAAGCAAAGGAACTCGAGTTCTCTCTTTCCCTTCTGTTTGTTCTACTATGACCTCCAATGGCTTTTTGTGTTTTCTCCTTCTATGTGAATGCATTCTGTGTATTATATTAGGTGTTCAAGCTTTTGACTTATATTTGTCCCTGAACAGAGGATACATTCAGACAATCAAGTTCAAGCTAAAACTGTGGGTAACAAACGGAAAGATGACAAAAGCAGTTTGAGTGGTGTTGGAGATGAAGAAAGTAATGCACATCAGAAGAGAAATAAAAAGAGAAAAAGGAAGGAAGTGAAGGACCTTCGGTTTGATACAACTGAACTGGGCATTACTAGTTCAAAGAGAAAGGAGCGAAAGAAACAGTAAGAACTGATGTCTCAGCAAAAAATCGTTCTTTTACTTTCCTGGATTAGAGATGGTAGTAACATTTACTTGAAAAGTACTTTTCTATAATATAAGAGGTGAGAGTTGAAGTAGAGGCAGAGCCATTGTTTTATGATCTTAAATGCTTATGCCACATATCTTGTATAGGAGAACAACTAAACCAACTCTATTGAGGGAAAGGGTTATGCATTTTAATGATTTAATTCCGGCTATTCAAGGGAGTCAAATCCGCCACGTCACAGTTATCGAGCTTGAAGTTCTTAGGAGTGTTCCTTGACCAGAAGCCATTAACTAATAATGTATCCTATCAACAATTGACTAAGATCATTGGGTAGTAAGGGGGTTGATTTGCTGAGGCTGGGGGTTATTCTACGACAACTTTGACTCAAATCAAATTCAGTGTTAATTTAGCGACTAACCTTTGAACACCATTACCTGTTTTCTCTAGTTTATAGATTATTTGCTTGTTTCTCCTATTATTAAGAAGCAGCTGAGGTATTTTTTTCCAGGTAACTTTCTACTCCTTGACGCAACAAGTAGTTGATCATTGTTCTACGGTCTATGTGTATGTGCGAACTGTATTCCTTACAATATCATATTTTATAAGCAATCTGGGTAATCAAGCAACTTCTGTTGTAAGCAAATGAAAAAGGATTCACCCAAATTAACCTTTCTTTGCTGAAGCAAATGTAATAAGGATTTCACATACGATACTCATTTTGACATGTTTCATTTCTCTTTTTTTTCTTTTTTTTCCAAGTGCTTTTTGGTTCTGAGGGGTTGGGAACTGGTTTCAGGCATTGCATAGTCTATAGGTTGTTACCTCATGGTTTTAATTTGGATGTATGCAGGCGTTTGGCAGAAATGAAGAAGAAACATAAAAAGGCCAATACTGATGAACACATGGATTTTCCTGGCCGTGAAGAAATAAAATTTGGTGAAGTCGTTGAAGCTCCACCTAAGCTTGCAGTTCCAAAGGTACATCTGGATAGTTGTATACTGTATTTATACACACTCGCATTGACATGAACTTTGCCTATGCTTATGATATTGACCTTGTATACACTGATATTCATATGGTAAAACATACTTGTGTTTTCACTATGAAGGCATTCAAGAGTAATGCACATGATGCTTCAAAAGAAAGACTTCGATTGCAAGCAGTTGAGGCCTATAGGCAGCGGAAAGGATGGACATCAAGACTCGGGCTTCAGATTTCTCCACCAATCACCGAGACTCCATTGTTGTAGTTATCTCAGAAACAACTAGTTGGATGGGTGCCATGCAAAATATCTACAGTAAGGTAATACTTGTCATGGAAAAAGTTAACAGAAAGAAAAATGGAAAAGGATGTGGAGACTCGGCTTAATTATACAGTATATGAGTCTTTCTTGTAGTTTACTAGTATGCACAAGTCATTATACTGTGAAATCCTTTTTGATTTGAATGTTACTCGTGTTCTGTCTTGACTCATAGAACATCGATAACTATGGTATTCTCCCCTGAGACGGGTTGACCAGTCGGAGCTGGGTGGTGGGGGGTTGCAGGTAAGGTTGTAAGATCATGAAACCCAAAAAAAAAAAAAGAACTGAAAATGAAAGCAGATAGTTAAGTTTGTGTGCTATGAATGGGTTATAGGTCTTATTTGATGCTGAGAAGTGAGAACCTAACAGAAATTGAAGGTGGCTTACAACAAGCTTGTGTCTTGAAATTCACCTCAATTTTTATACTAAAAAAGTGATTAATTACATCATCAGCAACTAGTAGAAATACTATTATTAACCTCTACAATTTTTCGTGAGCGTTTTAAAAATAAATTCAATCATAATAAATATCATCACATTATTCATTAAACCCAAAATCATTAGAGGTGGAAAAAAAACTAATACTATCTTTTAGATAGAAAACTAGATAACTATCATGAAGAATGTCTTCTAGTGCTAATTTGAAAGATTAACTATCATTTTCTTTTTCCTGTAAGCCTATTGCTAATTTTTATGTTGGTTGATGTATCTCTTTTTTTTTTTTTGCATTATTAGTATAAGGCTCTAGCAACTCAAAGATGTGTTTGAGCATGGGGGGTTCTGATTGAGAACACACTTGAAGAGTTGTTTAGTTCTAAGTTTACTACTTCACTCATTGTGTATGTGCAACTGCTTTACGACTGATGTGTGTAATGAGTCAAGTAAGCAGCTAGACCATCCTTCATGTTTTGTGCAATATTTACTAATTGGTATGCAATTCGAAACACATGTCCTAGTTTCAGGCACCTGGCTATGCATCACATATGCTCCCTGCCCATTGTGTGATTTCTGTACATATTCTGCCTTTGGCCTATTGAATGATGACAGTGCGTGCACCATTTCTCCTAGATCATCTTTGCTGAATCTGAACATTACGTATCATATGGTTCATTAATTAAATTGTTAGTTGCTTTCTGATATATGACCTTTTTCTTCCTGCAAGTGTAGAAAAATGAGGAAGAAGGATCTGTAGTTCAGCAGGAAGAATGACTTGTCTTCAAGTCCTCGTCATGTTGCTAGCTGAGATCCTGCCAGAAATTTCGGAATATATCTGAATCTTATCGCATTATGTAACGACTCTTTCGCAGTTTTACCATAGGCTACTTAAAACACAGCAGCACTTCATAATCTTGTCCATCCAACAAACAAATTGGATGGACGATATGTCATGTTATTCATTTTCCATTGCTATATTGTTGCCGAAATTCTCCACAACGATATTCGGAGTCCCACAGTTGTATGAGTTACCTTCATTACTAATTCTATTTACAAGGAACATGCATAGATAGCATGGTTCACCAAGTTTAGAGGTGTTTTTAGCATTTCTCTTGGCTTTTTATTAAGAATCTCATGCTCCTACGAGAGTTTAAGACCACTTGTTATGTCATGTGATAGATCGGGGTATATCTTGGTTTAGTTAGTCAAATAGAAGAATGTTTATAGGATTGACAACTAATAATGCACACGTCTAGTTCATGTCTTTCCAATACTTCTCTCTAGAAAGTATAAGCATGTTTTCATTGGAGAAAGCCATTTCGTCAATATAAATCCAATTAACATAGATTTAGCCCAAATATTTTTGGATGAAATTGGTAAATAGCCATAATCGCTATTAATCTTTAGCCAACGTTTTAAAATTATTCAATATTCATTTTCTATGCTGATTTGAATCAGAGTACCTTGAGCTAAATATTAAGAATTATGAGAAATGGTAAACATATACCCCTTTAATTATCATTGGTAGAGAGAGTTCTAAATAAACTTATTAAATATAGGATAAATTAGGTTTAACAGCAAATACATTATATGAAAAATACTACTATAAATTACAATTTTTATATATTAATATGATAAAAAAAAATTCATAAAATATTAATTTAAATTTTTATTATTTGACTTAAAATAGAAAATCACAATAACTAAGAGGAGATGTAAAGAGTACTAAAAGTGACAATTTCTCAATTATAATGCAAGAGGTGTTCAAATATTTATTTATTTACTTGTGATTCAAATGTTGATTATTACAACATCATTTGATTGGCCACTCCGTTTGTCCTTTAAGCATCTTGAGGAAAAATATGCGCATGAGCTCAAAAACTTGGAAACTTGCAATGTTTCTTTTTTGTTGTATTCCTTCTCAAACACCTAATTGGTCCCAAAAATCAAAGACGGAGCCAGTATTAGGATATTGGGGTTTTAAATTTTCTTCTTTCTCTTCCTTACGATTGAGTCGTCAATCAAATTTGTTAGGAGTTCACACACTATTACTAGAAAAAATTTATTCACACTGGGTGTTTACACCAAGTCAATATAATTTTCATTATTATGTGATTTAATCCCTCTCATCTAAAGAACTATATAAGGATTCTACTCTCAAGTTTCCCCAATTTAAGAACCATTCTCTCAAGAAAAGAATAACCAAATCTTCTCTCCAAAATATTTCTGTCTCTAGAAACTTGAAGAACAAGGAGGAGGAGGAAGGGTCATAGAGAGATAATTAGACTATCCTTCATTTTTTTTCTCATCACACCGATTATACCTAAGGAAGCAAACATATATTTTTTATGCTCAATTAGAAGCTCATAAACATAAGAGTTATCATGGCCTTGGTTACACCATTTTACGTCCACCATATAATCAGGCTGCTACATTTCCTCATACCTTGAAACATGACAATACTTTAATTTATGTGACACTTTTCTTTTTAATATATCCAAACATAATGTAACATTTCTATATTTTGAAAAAAATAATCTTTAAGAATTGTCCATTTTAGTAGGAATTTAAGGTCCTCAATCATGTCATTTTATGTATCATCTATAAATAATTTAGCGAATAAATACAATGCATTTTAATAGTTTGACAGATATTTATTTTAGCAGTAAACTAAGAAGGAACATAAGTAGCATAAAAGGTGACCGTAAGCTGAAATTCTATTTAATCAATCAAAACTATGAATATCAATGATATGAAGATCAAATGACTAATAATCCTAATATTTTGTAATTCAAATGAACTGTTCTTCTAATAATGTTTGACTTTTTATTATTAGATCTAACATATGCAATTATTTACTTGATATACTACGGTGGCGGTTGTTGTAACTATAAGTATACACTCTAATGCAGTTACTTCACAAGTGATATATGTACATTGTCTTACGCCGACTTTAAGGAGGTAAAGAGGTTGTTTCCAAAGACTATGCGCTAAAGTCAAATATATTAAAATGTAGTCCGGATATATTTACTTATCCCACATCGTCAGGTGGATAAGGCAAAATAAAAGCAAAGAAATTATATTAAAAAAGGGACCGAGTACATCAAATTAACATACTGAATTAACTGGTTCTGTATACACGTGTACTCCCTATAAGTGAATTTCTAGATTTCTACAATTCTCACGGCCACTATCAGATCCAAAGTAAATTTTAGTTCCTTACAATAAAATTATGCGAGCTAAGGGCTCATTTGGTGAGCTCTAGCGTGAGAGTATTCTGTTTGTAAGTTACGGTCTTAAAATTCTTTTCAGAGAGAGAGGGAGGGAGGGAGGGAGAGAGAGAGAAGAGAAGAGAAGAGAGGGAGTATTGTAAAATATACATGTCGTAGAGGTATCATGAAATATAAACTTGACATAAGAATGTGTTTTTTAAATTATATTTTTACTATAATCAATTTCAAATCACTTCTAATATTCCTCAAATTTTATAATATTCCTTACTTCTAATATTTTTTAAATTTCTCTTATACTTGAGTCGATGCCAAAGTTTGCTACTCTCCACTTATAAAGGTTTGTTTTCATAGTTTTAAATGAACGTAACTCTATTCACTCATGTCACAAATCGATCATCGTGAGTGACACCCATACTAATCCTTCGGTGAGAGAACTATTACTACAACTCAACTTACCGTAAATCTACGCATTTAAAGATACAGAAGTAGGTTTAAAATACACAAACGAAATAGAGTTCTCATAAACTTCAAAAGTCTAACAACGAATGAAGAATTAAATACCTAGAACCTAAAAGTCAATGTACCAAAAATCTAACAAGGAACCATAGTCTAAACTAATGGGTACAACTCAAACTAAACAGGATAATTATCTAAGGAACTAGCCTAAGTCGGAAGAGATGGAATAAACAAAAAAAAAAACTCAAGGCAGCCTGGAAAAACAGTCTCGCCCTTGAATTCGATAACTATCATTAATCTTCTAAACGAGGTATGTCAGTAGACGCTTGAAGACGTCTTGTACTCAACAAAAAAAGGGCAAGTGCAACATCAGTACACAACCACAATGTACTAGTAGGATCACAAAGCTATTCTACTAAATGAAATATGAGAAATTCATTACAACATCATAAGAATGCATATTACCAAACATATACAATATCAATATCTTTTATGGATCAATATACAATTCCACAATCTCAACAATATACATATGTATAACAAGTCATTGGTCCTCTCACGGAACCCATACCCAAACAGTTAATGTGCCAGATTGTGACACTCGTTCCAAGTTAATGTGTCAGATTGGGACAACCTTTCTAATATTTATGACGGAAAGTGTCATCTGAATCCAATTAGTGTGTATGATGTGACACCCGCTCCATTCAACATACCACAATCACAATCTCAATGTAAATTCTCACAATCATACAAGAGATGATTCATGACATATAGATATTTGTTCATACTCACTTTCGATTAGTGTGATCAATAATGCAACGTTCGCATACATACATGCAATATAATGGAGCAAGTACAAACACATATCACACAAACATGAAATCACAACCATCACCTACCTCAAACAAATCTCGAATCCCCTAAGAAATTTGATTCTTTCCTTTCCAAATTCCTTCCTCTTGTTTTTGGTCTAAATTTGGTCTAAAAACAATCAATAAACATGAGGATCAATAAAAAAGACCTAAATACCCAAATTATAATCAATCAAACTAACCCTAGGCCGAACCCTTGATCCCCATACCCAGATTAGAGTTTTTCCACCAAAATCTCATATCAAAACCCTTCCCGTCAATAATTACCCAAGAAACTAAGTTCTACGAATCAAAAAATAGATTAAGGGAGTGAAAACCTTACCTTTAGCCTCAAGATGGTGAAGAGTTTTCAAGAAAACACCTGGGTTCATTCCATAGCTCTCAAAGTCAAAGCTTACAGAATAATGACGTTGTGGGGTTTATTTCAAACTTAAGTCTCTTCTGTTCTGCTATAGCGACCCCAATCCCACTGCAGCGGACCTGCCTTGGCGGGAATAATCTCGTTGTGGAGGCTTGCATAGAAACAAAGAGCTAAATTAAGAGTTCCAAACCCCTATTTTCCAACACACCATCATCCATCGACACTAAAAAATATCCATTCATGCTAAGATCAGTTTAAGGAATTTTACTCACCTGAATTTGATTTCGCAAAGTCATATGAATTCCTTAACGTCTTAGTTATTTACTCATATAATCAAATTTATAATTTTATCTCCCGTTTGTTACCGTATTTTCCTAGACTTCACTCACTCTTTTTTCATCCAAATTTGGACTAGGTTGGGAGTTTCAAAGTACTACCAAAAACGTCTTCTGGCCCAAAACTTTTCCCCGTTAGTTTTTATATAACTACGGGAACTGGTTGTTAAAATAGATACCAACTTACCCGTTACTCTTCCTCGAGTGATAAACTAAGAAAATATGTTGAAGCAAGAGTGGAGTAGTACCTGAATCGACGAACAACTGGGGATACTTGTCTTGCATATCCTTCTTGTTTCCTAACTAGCTTTCTCTATCAGAGATTCTTCCATTGAAATTTCACGGACTTAATCTCTTTGGTCCTCAACTTCCAAACATCAAGATTAAGAATTGCAACCAGTTCTTCCTCATATTGAAGGTTCTTGTCTAACACAAGTCAGTCCCATTTTTATGATGCATTCCCCGTCACCATGATACCTTTCAATATAGACACATGAAATACCGGATGAACTCCCGATAGGTTAGGAGGTAAATCCAACATATACACCACTGGTCCTACACAGTCAAGATCCTTAAATGGCCCAGTGTATCGAGGACTAGACGAATCTCATTACCCATTTCATGGGTGATATCTTAAGAAGAACATTCTCGCCAGTATGAAATGTCATGTCTTTTACCTTGCATAATTCTTATGTATACTTTGGGATGCTAAAAGCTTAGCTTGAATATTCCTCACTTTATGTTGAGCATCCTTCACTAAATAAATCCCCAAAGGTTTCACATCTACAACCTCAAACCATCCTATGAGTGA